GAAATGTTCTCCCAAGCTGGCTCCAGTTCTCTCCAAACTCTACAACTATTGCCTCATTGCTTCCTTGCTTGTTGGATGTCCTCCTCTATAGTTCCTGTTTTTAACTTTAGAGAACCTTCTGACCCCTCTAACTATTGCCCTATTAGCCTCCTACAGTATTTCAGCAAAGTATTCGAGGCTTTAATCAATGCTGAAGTGGTTAAGCATCTTAGCTCTCATGATCTACTATATGGCTTCTGTTTTCCAGGTTTACTACTGATGTGCTTATAGCCATCACTGAATAGCTCTTGATAATAACAATGAAGCTCAAGCTGTGGCTCTAGATATCTCAAATGCATTTGACATGGTTTGGTACGCTGGTCTTCTATGTAAGCTCCAGGGCTATGGTTTCACAGGATGATTGTTTGATTTAATCCAATCATTCCTATCAAATCGTGAAATAAGTTATTTTGAATGGGCTCACTTCCAGATCAACTCTGCAGAAAGAAACTGCAGCCAAATCCACAAGAAAACCAACTAATTCGATGGGCCCTGTGGCTAAACCAGTTTGACTACACAATCGAGAACCAGAAATCAGCAGATTATGGCAATACAGATGCCTTTAGTTGCTTGCTATCTGGAAACAACAACTTTGACTGGGGGGAAAGTGGAGAAGACATGGAGATGGTGTGCACTATCAAAGTTCTCAGTCTTCAAGTCAAACCTATAGATGCCAACATCCTCCGTCAAGAGTCTGGGAAAGGTCCCATGATAGCTACAGTGATGCGCTATGTTCAGGAAGGATGGCCACCAAATCACACTGAGACCAATGATGAAGTCTAAAAGTTCTAGAAATTGTCAGATTCACTCAGTATTTACCATGGATGTCTCTTCCATGGATCAAGAGTTGTGATTCTAGAGTCCAATATCCTAGATCTATTGCATATTAGATATTTTACCAATGTATGAACCAGTTAGCAAGAACCACTGTCTACTAGCCCAGTATTGATAGAGCTAAATTTTGGCTAAATTTTACCTAATCCTCAAAACAATTTGGTAATAAGCAGATGTTACTGTCTTTTTCCCTTTTAAAAATTCTTCAAGCAAAATACCCAAAGCATTCCAGAAAAGTGTCATCATAACCTTTCCTGCTGACTGATTGATTTTGCTTTGACTGGACCCTTTCCATTGTTTTAACTGAAATTTGTCTTCAGGATTATACCGGGAAATCCAAATTTTATCTCCAGTTACAATTTACCTCAGATAGTTTTCATATCCCAAAATCTGAACAGGCATCAGCTGTAATTTTTTGTTGTTTATATATATCCCTTCCAGGTCAGATCAAGAATTTTCAGTACAATTCTGTTTATACATACACCCAGGCACACATATCTTGACCTATATAAAATTTTGTTAACTTGTAAGTCCCAGCTGTCAGGAATTTGGCTAATTAGATGTCAAAATGAACATGAGTTTTTACTCTCATTCATTTTACACCCAAACTTAGAACAGACAAAATAACACTCTATCCCACAGATTGTAAGTTTTAATCACACGAGATTTTAATTATTCTCTGTTAATCACAACTCTTCAACCATTATTCATTTGAAAGAAAAATTGTGACTTTTATTGAGAACAAAAGATTTTTTTTTGTAGCTTATTTGTCTTTTTTAGACAATGAACTGCTTTTATATTATTGTTTCCATTGTTTCACTAAATAGGATACATTGCTTTGTACTAAGAAATAGAATCAAATTTGTAACTAAATTTCTGTTACTTTAGCTAGTCTTGCAGTACTAGATTGGCATTTGTTTAAGTCTAAAGTATTAGATGTTTATGGGGCTTTAATTTCATTTTTTAAATCTTGATTACACAATCATCATAGGACTTAATTTTCCTTTTTCTTTAATCTAGTGTATGGGAGAATATGATATTACTCATCACAATGAGTTTGACTATAATTTTGGTTTAAAGGATGCTAATTAAATGGAAAAGCAATTTACTATGGTGAAAGTGTATAGAAAGTGCTTTGATTGCTAAACCATCCACGGTAAATTTACATCTACATTCCTGCAACATTTCACCTTTCTTGGCAGATTTTCTATTATCACAATGTAGGATACTTAATAATAAAATGGATAAGAACAAAAGCCTGAGGAACCTGAATGAAATTGATTAGACTACTGAGAGTGGAGTGGTGGGGGAGAGAACATTTTTCATTAAAAATTTCAGCATTTCCCAGTGATGCATAATTATAACCAGACTTTGCGTTTGTATCTCTCCTCCTTCTACACATATAATTCCATCAAGAAAAACATAACTTAAGTTCAATAAATCGATTCTAGAGGATGAAATCCATTACACCTGATTCCTCTCCCCTTTTTCATTTATTTGCCTAATTTAGTGTTATGTGATGTTCATGGGAATGATTTTTTTTTAATCTAAAGTACACAGTGTTTTTGTTAACATTTTTAAAGCTCTATAGATTCATGGATATTTATTTACTTTCTTAAATCTGGAGTATTCAAAGTTCATGGAGTGTTTTCTTTTTTAAGTCTAGAGTGCTCAATACTTTTTTTTTTTTTGTTAATTCAGTCAGAGTATTTGATGTTAGCATTTTTTTTTTCTTTTTGCCGTTATTGTTTAAATCCAGAATGTTCATGGAGATTTCTTTATTCTTTCATAGAAATAAATTCAACCACAACTTTGATCTAAAGAATGACACCCTTATTAAAAGAGAAATTAACTTAGACGGAAAATTCTTGATTGTACTACTATCAAGTCTTACCAAAATATAAATCTGCATCCCAGATTTTTTCAAATATCCCCATTCCTGAAAAAAATTACTACTTCTACCAAACCAGCTTACATGACTATAAAAATGTTAAAAATAAATAAAAGAAAACTGCTAAATTAATTACATTTCATTTAAAATATATAAGATATAAATTAATCCCAAACTAACATAACTTAAATATTAATTACTAAATCACATTATACAAAATAAAACTTCAACAACATCATTTACACACCTTTGTTTATTGGACATTAAATTACGTTACTTAGCGTCCTCCGTAATTTATCAAAACTTTTCAGCTAGCCTGATGAATATCTGTGAGCGTTTCTTAAATTTAAAAAACTAACGCTATACTTTTGTTTGTTTATGAATATTTGTTAGTTACAAGTACTTAATTTTGCCTTAAAGTTCATCAGAGGACGAAACGAGTTGGCTAAGTTTTCCTTTTGTTCTTCTTATCTTATTCATATCTTCACATAGTACATATCAACAAACATTTTTAATTTAGTTACATAGCCAAACTCACCTCTCTGCATACTAATTTAATTTGTCCCTTATTAATCTCTTCACTGCTCACCTGTAACCTTAATCCGGAAGAGAGTCTAGAAGGAAAAGGAGGCAGTAAACTTTAAGAACATTTATGACTCCCCCACCAACCCATTGTTGGTAGTATGAAGTAACAGAGATTACCCGCTTTCTGCTATGTCTGAAATTCTTCCTCGGACGCTATGTTTTCCTTGTTTGTTTATATTTCTTTGAAATGTACTTTTTTGTCCATTTTTCTTTTGAGAGTTATATTAATTATTTCTTCTAGTTTTCACGGTGTTCTTCTAAGTTGATTCGTCAATAAAGAATAAAAACATCAGTGTGAAGCTTGGTCCTTTTTTTTTTTTCATCGAGTTGCAGTGAAATGTGGCCGCATTCCTTCCCGCAGGGAGGCATAATAATAAAAAAAAAAAACGACTATGGCCTGTGATGTTTCAGCGTGCGTTTGTTTTCAGGTCAGTTACTGCGACAATTTCTCCCTTGGGCATTTCATCAAGTCTTATATGGGAAGTTTTTCATTTAAGATGAGAATATACAAAAACAGAATTCCGTAACTCAATTCTCAGTCTCCCCCCCCCCAAAAGGAAAGGTCAACTGAGAGAAGAAAGCGCGAAATTCAAGCAAGTCTAAAGATTATTACTGCATTTGAGAAAAAGTGTTATATCATGCATTATTATTGTCTAACTTCTAGGGAATTCTTTGTCTTACAAGGTTAAAAAAAAAACATCAGTACAGAGTGAATATTCGTTGCAGAGTGGGAGTCACCCAAATAAGCCGATGACCCGTCAAATGTAACAAGAAGAGTTTCAAAAGAAGGTCTCTTGAAAGACACTCCACGTTAATAAATGGTGGAACTGAGAGAGCAAGAATCAGCAACGATAAAGGAAAGGCTCTTGGCTGCATATGGAAAGTGGAACATACACATTTGAGAGATTCGCACAAAGTGACTTACAATATGATAGAGATAGACACTAAGCTTGGGTCTCAAATAAGGAGACTTTTATGACACCAAGCTAATTAAGAAGAAAATACATTTATTTTAAATTTAGCTGTTGGTGTATGTAAGTTATGTCGCTCGAGTCCCGTCTTGGGACTCGGGTGACAGCATGCCTGGATAAAAAGGAGATATGTTCTTCCTTTTATAGTAATTAAACAGCACTGCTGTCAGACCAAGAGGGTGTAATAATCTCCACAAACTCAATCATTTGAGTCAGTTTCCATTTTTATCACCTGTGTCTACAAGGAAGCATTAAGGATAAAAATAATCGTAAACGCTGGAGACCATCACAGGTAAGTTTATTGATTTTCTAACTTCTATTAACGCTCGTCGATAAAAAAAAATAAATAGCTGACCAGCCTTGTGTTTGACTTACGTAATTTAATGCCTCACTTTTTTTATCAGTCGTTATTTTTCACCTATTAATTTTCTGGCACGAAGTAATTTTAGTTTTTATGGTCCTCTTTCCGGTATGGTGTGGGGAAAAACATTCGTGTTAGTTAGTTACTAAAAAAACAAAAGCACTTTGTAAAAAGACTTAGATTTTTAATGCGTTTGACTAAAAAGTGACGCATCAAGGAAGAAATAACAAAAACAAAATGTAGTTCAATATTTTCTCCAAAAACACTACTAAAAAGTAGCAGCGTAAAAGTAGAGAAATTTTAATTACAAGTGGGTATCTTAGCAATTTTCGCAGTAGTTAGATCCACATTCGATGGCAGCGTCATTGGTGTGATCACAGACCTCCTTATCCTGCGGTGTTGACCAGTAGCAATCGAAAAAGTTTGATTCGTGTCCGGTGCAGCTGACATCAGTCATCCAAATAGGTCCGCTTCCAACGGCAAACAGGGATGATTCCATTACCCGCTGAACATTCATGAAGCCCATCTGCCGACACACAACCTCAGCATCTTCCGTATCGAATCCTGCATTACACACTGTCCCCCACTGACCATTCATATGTACCTCCACTCGGCCGTAATGGCCGTTGGTCAAACGAAGAGGGACGCCTATTAAAAATAGAATAAAACGGTTATCAATATCTTGTAGGTACAGCCACATAGCCACCCCACCGCCAAAAAAAAGCAAAGAAAAACGCATTTTAAATGTCTTTGAACTGAAGTTAAATTTTAGTTGAATTTGAAAGATAATTGCCTAAAGCTAATCCCTATCGAAAGAAAAATTAATTTCCGTAAGTTTTTAGGTATTTTTAAAACATTGACACGTTCACTCGTTGACTTCTCTGTCATTATAGACAAAAAATATATATAAACAAGTTTAAAAAAAAAACAATATTTGTCTTGGAAATGTGTTTCGAAGTCAGTAAATATAAGCACTAATTAACTGGATGTTGTCATCAGCGTTATGCGTACTTTTTGCTTCGGACATAATCAAAATAACGTTTATTTACGCACGGTAGCTTGTGAAGTCAGAGGTTAACACTAACAGGCATCAATATCAATTGCAAACCCTCACTTAAAACGTGCGCGAAAAAAAAAAAAAATTAATATTTTTTTTTAATACAGAACACCAGCAGTGAAGTAATCAAGTACTTGATATTTATGTTTAAAAATAAGTTCTTTTTAACTTTTATATAATCAATAGCTTAAAGAATATTTTATGAAATGTAGTAGAATTAATTTTTTAAATACATTTTTTTAAAAATTTGAATACATTGCTTTTATTTTTTATTTTATTACCTGTTTGTTGTCAAAAAATATTACATCCAATGTAATATTTTAAAATTATTCAGAATTTAGGAGTTATTGAATTATCATATATTAGGGGAATAGTGGTCAATCAAAAATGGTATTTCAGAATTATTTCATTTTTGGACATCTGTGCAAGAAAACCAGCAGTTTCTAAAATGAATTAATATTTTTTAAAAAACCCGGTTCACACACCTTCAAACATGTATTTTTATTTAGAAAAATGTTACGAACTGCAATTAGATGAATTTTAAAATAACACTGAAACTTTTCAAGTAATTTTTGTAAAAATAAATATAACTGGAGATCTTTTTCACCTGTCCAATCTGAAAGAAAATTGTGTTTTATTAAATTATGCAAGCAGCAACTCTTAGAAAAGCAAAAACAAATATTTTAGTTTTATTGAATTATTTTTGGTTAAGTTCGGGACGAATTTTCCGTATGTTCAAACATAACATTCCATAAAGTTTACTGAAATAACATTTTGGATTTTTCGTTATATAACTGTTAAAAAACTGCCCCCAAAAAAAAATGTTTCAACAAAGTTTTGTAATAAAATAACAATTTGAGTACCGAATTCATTCCTTAAGGAATATGTATGAATAATTTCGTTTAAATCTGATAATTCCTTGATCTTTTGGCAACAACTTTTTTTTTTTTTTTTTTTTTTTTTTCAACAGAGTATAGCGATTTTTTGCTTTGATTTTGGAAAGTACCTAGTATTTTGGCTGATTTGTGTCTTGCTAATTTGGAAGTTAACGCACGACCCATTATTGTCCAGTCTCAGTTGGATGCTCTACACTTGTGACTTTCTACCATACTAACCTTTGACTATTTTTGTCATAGTGTGGTTACTCTTGAATAAGTCGTTAAACTTTATCGAGTAAGGCAGTTGCTGATAGATCAGTGCACAAACTTATTGAATATTTTGTAGAAAGTTTATCGCTAACATTCCAATGGAGTTGGGTGCTGGGTTACCAGATTCATTCACGGAGCTATGAGGGACATTTTGCTGGAACTGAGAACTGAAGAAAAGGTCTTCTTGACCTCAGCCGATGATGAACTGGACTATATTATTTGTCTAAAATCATTACTGAAATTATTTTTTTAAATTTTTTTTAGAGAACTTCATTTTCCGTTTAGTTTTTCCGAAATATTAGCTTCTAAAAACGTTTATATGCGAAGCAAAAAGCCCAAAGAAAAAGAAGTTTATTTAACCATTCCTCGCTAATTATTTTGGAAAAAACGTTTCATTTTCAGATGATTTTTGTATTTCTTTTTAATATAGAAACTAAGAAACTGAAGCACCTTGTAGTACCCGGTGCGGTGGTTAACAGTGTAACACCTCTACTAGACATACGAATTGACAATTGGACTCGATCAGTTCAGAAGTGCATAAAAAGGAATCAAGATCAACGTATAAACACGTTTGTATCAGTTTTTAAAATGATTATTCGTCCGTGCCTGAAAAAAGGAAGGAGTTAAAGTAAAAAAAATAAAATAAACAAAAGCAATGTTTACTTTATGAAAAGATCCGATCAAAAATAAGAATCATGGATCTTCTTTTACAAACTTAATACTCGATGTATCTCCACACTCAAAGAAACACAAAAAAAACATACATTTTTTTTTTTGTTTGTTTATTTTGTGGCGCTTTGCTTGAGACTGGTCTGCTTTTGAAAACCTGGGGCTAATACATTGAGCTGCTAATGAAAAAAGTCAATTCAGAATTTAGTAGCATTTGTTTGTTACTATCACAAGTTCCGTAAATCATGTCGCTAGGCACCACATTTATTACGATCTAGATGCAGTGGGTATCTCTGACAAGATTGTCTAACGAAACCCATTCTTCTTTAGGTTGGTTTTGAATTTAGTTGTCCTCATCGACTGCTTTTCTTTTTAAGACAATAGAGATCTTCTATTTAAGGATCTTTGAATTCAGAATTTTCCATCTCATAGAGTGGCTGCAATCCAGGTAAAATAAGTTCACTCCGCCCTGCTATTTAACCTATAGCTGAGAAAATGAGAATAAGGGCGAAGTGAATGAAACAAACTCAATCAGAACTGGAAATCGATACGTTGATTTTTTTTTGATTTTTTTTACTGATAACCGCCACGTTAACCATACATTAATTGGTGCTACTATCTACCGAAACATTTGCAACCTACCATAAATGACGATGCACTCTACCAAACAACACACTTACGGCCTACAGCTTAAACCTCAAACTACATCCTGTGTTATTTTAACCTAAAGAGTGGGGTATTCGTAAAGGCGGTATTTATGTAATTCAATTACAAAATGTGTGAAATTTTAGAATTAGTGTATTTTGTTCACAAAATTCCGATGAGTACTACACTAACTTTTACTGGAAAATCTCCTAATACTATAACCGGTATAAATTTTACACTACAAACTGTTTATTATGATCCTTTAATGGCTTCTAACATATTTCATATCTCCAACTGTTGGTAAATATCATACTATAGTAGAAAATGGATGGTAGATATCATACTATAGTAGCACCCATTAATTTCTTCTGTAGACTAATATGCTACTCATAGGCCGATCAGACCGGATCGATATTCAAATGTATCGGAATAAAGTATTTAAAATGCCGTCTTACTTTAGAAAATAACTACTTTTTACTCATAAATGCAAATATTGTAAATTCGTACTGGACTACTTTTTATTTTAGCACTTTATTTTTATATTAATTAACTTTGAATAGCATTTTTATTACAAGAAACTAAGTGTTGAATAATTAAAATATTTAATTAATTTCAAAACAACTTCTACTCTTAGAGTTTACAATAAGGTTCCTCACCTGAACAAACTACTCCAGCATCTTCAGCGTGGTTACAATTCGATGTCACGCGATGTGCCCTCTGACACATGAACAAACTGTTTTCGTTTCCGGTACAGTGGAGATCATTGAACCAGACAGGTCCCTTTCCTTTGCCAAAATGTGAACGCTTCGTGGCCCGTTTTGCTTCAGTGAAACCCAGTTCTCTGCAGATGACATTGGCTTCCAGTAACGAAAAATTATCATCGCACACAGTACCCCATTCTCCGTTTACCATCACTTCAACGTTGCCGTGTGTGCCGTACGTTAAGCGAATGCCATCTGTAACAAAGAAATTACGAAATTAATTATCTGTAGAAAAGATATTGGCTCATGTCATTGCTCACATGTTCAGTCCATGGTATCCTCGGCATCCTTATGGAATCAATGACAAGGTTTGAGACAAAATGAAAACGAGGAGTACACAACATCAGGAAGAGACTGAGGAAAGCAGGCTTAGAAAAGTTGACACTCACAGGACATTAACGGCAAAAGGGAAAGAAAAAGATCGAATAGTCTGCCTAACAAAGCGTGTTGATACAACGGATTAGGAAAGATAGCGAATCGGGAAAAAAGCTTAATAACATCGACAAAAGACAGGAAATTGTGGAGAGCCATGATTGCCCATAGAAGATGTTTGGCGAGTGTTTACCGGAAATGCTGCAAGGTAGCAGTAGGATTCAAGATGGCGGATATTTATCGCCAGCTTATTGCTTTTAGTTGTTTTTTTTAGTCTTAACAATTGGTTTAAATTTCCTGAACTTATTTTTAACGGGAAAATATTTATCTTTTTCTTTTAATTGTCGACGTCGTTCCGTTGTTTTTTTTCCTCTTCCTTATTTGGATTGACACAGTTTGTTTTTTTAATATGCCCCCTCCCCGCTTCATCCTGGGTATGACGATAAACTACATCCGGCAGCAAGGCCTCTGATCAGGAGGTTTTGAGGAGCGTGAAACCAAGACTTAAATGCTGTTGTTCTCCGGTACAGCCTTACCCGAGGTGGTAGCGCCTGTTAGGATCCCAGCTTTGGGCAAAGATTTAACCCCAAAACCTGGTTAAAACACTAAGAAAATGTAAAAAATAGGTTTTTATAGTAAAAATACCAGCAATAGATTTTTGAAAAAAAAATCACCAGCAATACATTTTGACTCTCAACAAAAACCCTCTTTACAGAAATACGTCGATGAAACCTGATCTACAAAATGGTTTCTTACAAAGAATAAATATTCTATTCATACGAACCTACCCTAAAATCTTGTCGACATTAAATAACCCATTAAGGTTGATATGCCGTAAAACACCCCTCCCCAACAACAACAAAAAATGAATGGGATTTATTATTTTCATATTCGAGGTACTTTTCTGAATATACAGAGTACCACAGAAATACCTTCTATATGACAAAAACAAAAAAAATGTTAGCTCGATAACGAAACCATTGCCACTAATATCTTACCATTATGTGGGAGGTATTTTCCCGTACCCTGTATATTCTATGAAATAACTTTCGTAATTTTTTCCGGGTTCCTTATTTTGGCAAGAGCTACTTAATTGTGGGTACTGAAGTAGAAGCCGAACTAACTAACTACAAATCTCGAGGGAGAAACAAATAACTTTCCTTCTTTTTTATACCTCCGAGAACCCAAGTATATACCTGTTGTATCTTCTTTTATTGAATTTTGTTCCGTCTATTTTGATAACTACATTTTCGCCCTTATTTGCCTCACTTTCTATCTTCCTTCCTACTACCACCCTGTAGTGTGGCCGATAAACGCGACACAAGTGAATTTTTAACGAACGCATTAGTCGTGCCTTTTTCGTTTGATAACTGTCAATGTTCTTTTAGAAATTTTGGATATTAATCAGAAGAATCTTAACATGGGGACAAGAATTTAGAAGAATAAACATGAAAGATTTCTATCTGAATGTCCGGCATGAGGTGTTATCATTATTTTACACTATTTATAAAGAATTCCCTGTAGTATATCCATGTCTATAAACAACTGATGAAGGATGATACAATGGCCGAAACGTTATGATAACGACATGAATAACCTACAGGGAATTCTTTATTTAATCTATGGGATTAGACTGTTCTCATTTCACTGCCCATGTCTAGGGATAACGTTTAGTTCTTACTGCTCACTCGTTCTCGAATACACACTGGCCCAAGGATTGAACTCAGAGTTCTACGCTTTAATCTACTGCCTAGGTCAGTTCTCTGTAGTATATTATAGATACTATTGTCTTGGATTTTTTTTTTTTTAATGAATAATGAATTTTTACACGAATTGTTTTCGTTTTTTAAAAATTTTTAATTTATAAAGTTTTAAATCTTTTAAAATTCTGTATTAATTTGTAGCAGTTAGATGTTAAGTAAAAACTATATTTATTAATCATAAATGGAAAAGCTTACTACAATTCAGCCCCCCCACCTCCTCCAGTATTTTAAAAATAATTTTGAATTTTTTATGAGTGTATAAACGTGCTGATTTTTATAAATATTGACGTTCATACACGACATTATCAGAAAATAAGAGCGGTAACTATAATACATTTAAAATTTATTGATAATTTTCTAACCTTTCTTCGACAAGCGTCTTCGTAAGCAAGACATCCCAAAGTACCTAAAATTCAATAAAATAATAGATTACTTAGTATAATTTCCTAATTTTTTTAAGATTACTGGGTAGTTAATATATATATATATATAATTTGTGTCCATCGTAGAAAAAATAACCAAACATAAGTCTATCAAGAAAGTTGTTACCACCTCATAAAAACACCCACCTCTATTTAAAAAATGCTTTTCTACGATATTTTAGATATTTGTTTCAAATCAGATTAATCTTCCTCAAATAAAGTTTCAGAAAATTATATTTTATTTTTGAAGGATTTTTTTAATATATTTTTTTAAATATTAATATATTTTTAATAAGAAAAATCATGTATTGATAGATTCGCAAATATGGCTGATTTTTGGCGATTTCAACAATTTTAAAAAATCCTTCTACTCAATTTAAATTCGATTTGAAATACAGTAAAGTATTGAAATTGGATTAAAGATTAAAAATATAATTTAATAATCAAAAAGACTTAGGACTTTTCTCTTAACAGATTTTGACGATAAAACTTTGTTTTTATGTTTGGAGCATTTTCTTTTTTTTTTCTCTACATCGTGTATCATATCTTTGGAGGTACCAGTGTATCTATGAAGATATATATAATATGGGGAGGGTGAGGAATAAATGAAGTTAAGCAAAAAAAAAAAAAAAAACTAACGCAGATAAATATTTACTCAGTTAATTTGCATACTTACTCAGTTGCATGCCTTTCGGTAGTTGTTTTGTGATGTTTTCAAAACCCTGATCCGGTTGTATTTCTTTCGGTAAACGGTACGCCTGTTGTACCCGCAAAGATAATGAAGTCGACAACTTGATCAGTTCACTCTCGAGTAAGTGCATGCGACGCTCGTTCTCAATCAATGTCCTTTCCATGCGGTTATGACTCCGCTTCAGTTTAGCAACCTGCAAAGAGACAATTGTCCATAGAGAGACATCACAGAGAAACATTGATGCTAACTGACACAAAAAAAAACAAAAAACAAAAAAAAAAACAATCTTTAAGATGAATGTGTTGGATAGCTTAAAGTTAAGAATATTAACATCACAACAGTTAGCAGTTCTTCCCACAGAATAGATTCGCTTATGTTAGGCGTGCTGCTGTGAAAGGGTTGATGTGATCAGTATTTTAGCTACCTTTTTTTCGTTTTAACCTAATTATATTAAACACGTTGACAATGAGGATATTGTAGAATCTTCGAATTTCACCAGTTTAAGCAGGAAAATAAATAGAAGCGAATGTGTCAATTCGACCAACCCATTCACAACAATGTGTACAACATAGGCGATTCCATATTTTATACGTGTTGTAACTGTTGTATTGTTAGTATTCCCAGCTTTACAGTAATCTAAAAATATGTTCATATACTTACAACTGAAACATCATTTGTAATTTCAACAAATCGTTAAAAAGATGACCCCGAGGTCAACCTTCGTTGATGCATCCCAACCGAAAGGCCTAGACATTTTTCATTCCTTGTTACTATTTGCGAATGCCAAATCCATAAAGTTTTTCTCCGATAACAGTGCAGACATAGAAATCAATACTGCATGACAACTTCTAGTTTCATGCCTTAAACAACTATCAAACGAATGTTGATTTCTGTTCACACCATTTAGATGAAAAATAGGCTATTGCACTTATGAGGCCCCTCCAAATTCCTCATTCTCACGAGTAGAGGAAAATTGAAGAGTGTTAAACAATTTGAGTAAAGCCGAGGATTATGACAGGTGTTTAAAATTACTGAAGAGTTATTTAGTCTACAATGCTTTTCTTTACAACATGTGTAAGAAAGGCCTATGACAGTGTTAAAATACTATACAGCTTGGCTGGAGGCTCCCTAGATTTTGAGGTCTTAGGCTTCAACCTGCTAAAGCCAATAGGTAAACACGGCACTGGCTCACACTATTTACCTTCAAACGCTCTCGCCTCAATATTAATTCTTCACATATAAATGTAGGACAGTTTAATTATATATATATATATATATATATATATATATATATATATTAGTAGATTAGGTATTAAAAGATCATTCAGTGAGTATGAAGAATTAAGACCTCTGCCCCACTCTTTCTTTCTCTCCATCCCCTAATCTCATACGATCACCGAAGTTAAGCAACGTCGGGCCTGATCAGAACTGGGGTGTACCAGGTGCTATAAGTTGGATGTGCGAGTGGCGTAATAGATAACGGTTTGGTATTGGAAATCGGAAACCATGTTCCAATTCCAATCAAGTTCGTTAGATGCACTTGTGCGCAAATACTTTTGGGGAAAAGGTACGAATCCGCCTCATTTCTCCCGGTTACGAGTTAATATACCTTGTATCAGTAAATCATTATCTCCAAATAATTCTTACAATCTAAAAAAAATATTTTCTGACTTTAAATAACCTTCAAAAGGTTGATAAGCCATTGAAAATGCAAAATACCCCCACCCCTAGATTAAACAGGTGAGACTTTTTCTGACTGTGTTCACTCCTTGAGAGACGAGAAAAATGACCAGCACAAATAACTTGTCACATGTACATTAACACAACTCTTTAAATAGAAAACTTGACTACAAATGAGCAGCATACTTTACTCTTACTTTTCTTCCAAATACCTTAAAGCCGTGGATCTCTGTTGCCGAGTTAGTAACTAACCAACGTGGGTTCCTGTAATTGAAGGCATGCATCCATAATATCCGTTTATCAAGCAAACTAGTTAGACAATTTTTACTTTTGCTTAAGTTTTATGTGTCCCACTCTTATGAACTTGTGACAAATTAAACTTGGTGTTATATAAGGCTTAGCAAACTTTCCATGCCTTAAACTTTTATGTTTCTTTAGAGAAAATTGTTATTGAAGGCAAGAGTGACAGAAGGGAACAGCAAGTAATCCACCTAACAAGCTTGTGTAAATGGATGGCAGAACAGGGAGTAGGAGGGCTAGTTTAAAAAAAAAAAACCCAAAAAACACTACTAACAGATGAAGTTGTCGAGACACGACACATTAGTTAATTCTCAAATAAACAACACTTAAATATTAATAATTGAACTGACAGTTTCGGAATGGTATAAATATGCTGATAGAAATATATTTATATAAAACAAATTTATTTAAGCCTAAATTATAGGCTTAGGATTAAAACAATACTTTTCTGTATACACTAAAATGAGAAACGTATCAGTTATGGAAAAACAAAGATAATGTCAAGGATTTTTTTAAAAAAGAGTTGTAAAGAAACAGAAAAAAATTGTTAAAAACAAAGAAGAGTACTGAAGTTGCATCTTCCCATAATTTGAGTGATGAACGCTCACCTCACGGATGAAGAAGCTTAAAGCAACAGAAATGTGGTTCTACAGATGGATGTTGAGGATACCATGGACCGAAAATGTGAGCAACGACGAAGTTTTAGAGAAAATGGAAACAAAAAGGAAATTTATACTTAACATCAGGAAGAGACAGTTGAAATTTCTAGGGCACATAATGAGGAAAGAGGGATTGAAAAATATGATACTCACAAGACAGATTTAAAGATAGTAAAATAACGCCTAATGAGCTTGAGTAAATGGACGGTGGAATAAGGTTTAGAAGAGATAGCAAAAAGACAAAAAAATTATTAAGAGCTACAAAGGACAGAAAGTAGTGGAGAACTATGATCACCTCCACCCTGCAGTGACACAGCAGATAGAAGAATTCATGTGTTTATTTTGTCAAGTATACAAAAATGGCACGTTTAACGTCTTCTCCTCGTTTTGTAATTCGACAATTGTATATTTAGTCATTGAGATGTTGATCAACTTTTTCAAAACTGATTGCAATTTCTTTTTATTTATTCATTTATTTATTTATTTCATAGCATTCACTGTGGAGTAATGGATAGCGGCTCGGATTGAGAAATCGGAGTTCGAATTCCTGTCAGATCCATTACATTCACTTAACGTGCTAATATCATTGAGAAAAGTATGAATCCTCTTCTTCTTCTACCACCCCCCAGCTAGAACCGGGTTCTATAGCTTTGAATGGCAACTGGTCTACCGCAGAAAGTAATGGCAACCTACTGCGGGAAAAAAATCTGCTTCGTCAGTCATGTATCGAAAGATTCATGATCACCCCAATGTGTATCACGCATGACACATAACTGACTGATAGCCTTAATTATAAAATTTACTAATTTACTCTGTGAAAAATTATTCACTTCTTTTGTTTTCGGTCTCGTAATTTCCTGTTTATTCTCAACAAAAAAAAGAAAATTCCGATTTACTCTTTAGATCATTAAATTGTATACAAATATTCAAAAAAAAATTTTTTTTGAAAAAAAAAATATTTTCAAGAATTACGCTGACTTTAATCGTATACTTCCGTTGTACAAATTTCTAGTCAGCTATTTTATTTTCAGTTACAATGCGTTCATTTTTTCTTTTCGTTTAAAGCGGAAAAAGGGAACGAACGCTGTGGTAAAAAATTATTCTTGGACTAGTCCTTCTTCTTCCAAAAGGAAGAACTCAACGATCAGCATTTCAAGCATTCCTTAGAAATAAAACTGATATAGATAACACAAAAAGGATAATTATAGATATGTCTGTATAGACATTGATTTGAAAATAGTATATTTAATCAGCAATCCTTTTATTCTTTCATTACAGCATATTAATTTTAAACCCCGTACTATTAACATACTACCCTCTTTGTTTAAAAATGACCAACGGTCGAAAAGTAATCGGTGTGCACAATTTTGGCAAATTGCTTTAAAATTTACCACCCAAAATCAAACGAGTTGATAATAGGTGAAAGTCGGTAGAAAGTTGAAGAAAGTTTGCATGTCCCTTCTACTTAATAAGACACGTTTAAACGATATATCTCTCTCTCTCTCTCTCTCTCATATATATATATATATATATATATATATATAAGGATATTACATCAAAACATCTAAAAAAAATGCTACACAATTGCAGTCGTGTTTCGATGCGAATCAACGCATCTTATCAGTCGATTGTAAATGAAGCTGTTATAGTGGAAAACACCTATTCTATAGTTAATAGACTCTCCCACCTATAATAAGTAGGAGTAGTAAGAGTCGCTCGGCGAGTTGGTCAGTCAGTCGACTGGCTGATCGGTTGAACTCTCTGCCTTCGGGCGGGGAGGAACCCGAAAGAGGCTACACCGAAGGATGGATTCTCTTTCGGGGAGGTAAACCGACCCTGAACCCGTTTATACGGGTTCAATAGGCATATTTTTGGCCGAGCCCACGGGCTCGGAGATTCCACGGGCTCGGAGATTCCACGGGCTCGGAGATCCCACGGGCTCGGAGATCCCACGGGCTCGGAGATCCCACGTTAAACCGGCCTTGTGCCACATGATGCCCTCGTGGTGGGGTGACTAAATATCGTTGGTCGGTCAGTCGATGTCGGACGACAGTTAGTCGAATAATACAGTATCAGCGATCACAACTAGATTACGTTATACCTATTATATCAAGTTCCTAACATTTTGTACGTCGAACCTTTTTTATGACCGACTTAGTACAAAATACAAGCCTCCACTGTGAAATCACTCCATAACAGAAGCTCACCTTACCTGGATGAAGATATATAATGAAAATGTTTCATTGAAAATATTTTTGATTACACGTTTCACCATTCAAGGCTTCATCAGATCCAAAAACGAAAGAAAGAAATGTGTGTGTGTGTGTGTGTGTGTGCATGCTTAAATAATGAATCATCGTACTTTTTTTCCCTAAGCTGGCATTTCTTCTGATTATAGAAGAAAGAAAATGAGTGACTTAAAAAAAAAACCTTAATATTTATTCTGTATCTTTTCTTGATAATTCTTAGTTCGTCGAAAGATGTTAATATATTTTCCTAACTTTTTTGTATCGAATTAAATGCAAACCATCATCTAATTTTCAGAATGCGGGAG